CACATATATTCCTTTTCTGACCCCAATCGTGTTCAAACTGTCCCTTTTACCGTCTTAACTGAGTGAACATAAACACATTTTTATTATGCAGCGAGAGTGACCCGCATAATTATTATTCGAAGCCCTTTTCCCTAATTTAGAAGCGTAGATCTATGCAGCATGCATGCATTATCTATATTCACGTCTGCTGTTTCATAATAAGCCCATTGGGAGAAAATACTTAAATCAAATTAAATGTATGCAATTATTATATTCATTGTGAGGAGCTGGCAATTATAGAGACATAATATTATATGTACACAGGTTTATATTATACTGAAGTTGAGAGTTGGGTCGGCTTCTTTATAGTGATGGGGGTCTTTCTTTTTTTCTTTTTTCTTTCTTTTTTTGTAGAAGAGGTTTTACGGCGCTCGCAACAGCATAAGGTCATATGAGCGCAAATCAGGAGTTTTCATAAGCTTAAGCGTACGCGTACGTGTAAGTGTAAGTGTAAGCGTAAGCGTATTGGTTTAACGCCTGTATCAACACTATTTGATTATGTAAGAATCAGGACAACCGAATTTAACGTCCGTCTCCGATACCACTGAGTCAGCTGGGTTGAGAGACTTGAAAACACCACAAAATGGCCTGTTTAGAGACTTGAAAACTCCACAAATCTATTAAAGTGTTCAAGAACTCCCAATATGGAATTCGAACCAGAGAAAATCTGCTCCGTAGTTCAGCATGGTACCAACTGAGCTAACGGAGCGACTTTCATAAGTGCGAGAATGTTGGAACTTCACGGTGACCGTAAAGATGGTTCCAGTAGGGAACGGGATAGAGGGTGCCCACGTCCCTCGTGACTCATTGGAGCAGAGGAATATAGGACTGACGCTAACATTACTTAAACTTACACGCAATCCCACATCATCACTCATCACCATCATTATTTCTAAAATCACCATTGCTCTCAGATCAATGACTTACATCTACAATCCTTGAATCTCTCTCTGTAACAGTTACTTGTCATACTAGGTTGCACCAAGGAGTTTAGAACTTACTATTAATCTACTTGGTATGCATGTAATACACTGTAGGACACTATCATACACACGTTTTTTTTACTAATCAGATGGCATCAATCTCATATACATGGGCAAAGGATAAAAAAAAAGAACAGGCTAGCCGTAGATCTACTTAATAATGATGGCTAAACTGACAAAAAGCAAAAAAATAGGCCTACTGAATTATAATTTTTTTTTTCAACACCTAAAGTATTTGTATTTGAGACGGAACCAAAAGGCGCCCTACTGACAGTGCATGTATTTTAAATCTGAATAATTACTAATGAGGCCTGTGTTCTCTACAGGTTTCGGTCAATAGGGCCTAATCTAAGTACTTAAGTAGAGCTAGCCACTTAGTAAAAAAAAAGGGGGGGCGAGAATGTGTGCTGTCAATTATAGTATACGTATGGCAGGGAAACGTAGCTTTTTTTAGAGCATCCGAGCAAAGCAATGAATGGAAAATCATGATCGCCGATGTCTGTCGCAGATCTGGCACTATAGATGATGACGATGTCGTAGCCACGCCCTCTTTCGGGGCTTGTAAAAAGGTCCATAAGTTATAGTAATTAGTTTCTAGTGTCTTAAATTTGAAGCCAGGGGCGTTTTAGTATTTAATGGTGTGAGTGTTCACGTATATATGTGTTTGTGTATGTGTGTGTATGTATGTGTGTGTTTGTGTGTGTGTGTGTGTGTGTGTGTGTGTGTGTGTGTGTGTGTG